TAAGTTACAGACAAATGGCAAAGGGCAGCTACCCGTTATTCTTTCACCTCAAACAGTCCCGGGCTTCCATGCAAGGATACTGGACCCAATTAGCAGCTGACTACAGGGCTGGGGAAAGAGGCCACTGCCATATGAACATAGGGGAGAAGGAAAGGTGAGTGGAACCAAACAGACTGGATCTTAATGCTAATCAAACCCTCATCATTTCACAGATTGAAGGTTAGAAAAAAAAGAATCACCCCCAATACTGCATCCACCCAAATACTGTGGTTAAAAGTGCAGACCCGAGTCCTACTGCCTGTGTGACCCTGGGCAAGTTACTTAACTTCTCTGTGCCTAAATTTCTTAATCTACAAAATAATAGGATTGAATGAGCTACTGCATGGGAAGAGCTCAGAACAGTACTCACAATAATTGTTCAAGAAATAGTAGCTATTATTGTTACTTTTTAAAAAAGATCAACCTGGCCCAAGCTAAATTTCATAAATGCTAAAGCTCCTATATTAGAAATCTAAGGTAAAAACCAACTCACATTTTCATTTTAAGCCAATGAGAAGGTTCCAACCCTGTTGAATGGCAGCTGCCTTTCAATCATCTGGTCTTGAGTCAATGAGAGTGCTAAGTCCTATTTATTTACATGGCAGGTGTTGTGCTAGGACATTTATCACTGTGCCTCTGCTAGTGTCTAAAACTTGACTCATCGCAGATCCAGTGGGGAAGACAGACACCCATGAATGAACTATTGCACCACGGTAGGTGCCACATAGAGGCACCAAGTGCAACAGTTCCGGGGAGAGACATATTCTCTCCTCTTGGAGGAGTCTCAGGACTCGTAGAAAACTGAGCAGGTCGCTAAGGATGGGCAGAACTCCAACAGATTGAGTAGAGCATTCAATGAACCATAAACAAAATATGTACAGGTCAAGTCAAGGAGTGGAACAGAATAAGCCCTGACCTGAGGGTTAGAGAACCTAGCTGAAACGTGTGACCCTAGAGAAGTTAGTAAATACACTGAGCCTCATTTTTCTCAGATGTAAAATGAGGATGGTATCATGTACATACAATGTTTGTATGATACTCACAAGTGCTCTGTAACATACAAGAAGTCTTGCAAACATAAAGAGGATGACTCTAGAGTCAGCCTCACACTCTTATTAATAACATCCTATAAAGTCGACCCTAGTTCCCAGGACTATCTTTGAATCAAATTCTCTCAAAACGCCCCAAAAGATAAAGATCCTAGAAATCATATTGAAATAAAACACTAGTCAAAAGTAAAGATTTTGAGATCTCATAAGTTGAGGGAACATTTACCAAAGGGAAGGGACAGGATAGGAGTAGGTAGTTGCCTTCTAGATTTTTCCTGAGAAAAGGCAAAGGAAGGTGAGCCGTTTCACTTAATGACAGAAATCCTAAAAAAAAAATGTTTGGAGATGTGCCAGGTGCAGCTTTGAGAAGGATTAACTGTGGTGGGTCCTGATCTACTATGCAAGAACATCTGCCCTAAAAACTTATCATTGGTGTGACCACAATCACCACAGGACTCAGAGAACTAATCGAGCCGAAGGCTGTATCATCAACTAAATCTACAATGACTTTGATATCTGTCAGAGTTACTCCTAGAGGAACATAAAACCCACAAGGGAAAAACACAGCCTAAGGTAAACTTGAAGGATCCTAATTTACCTGAAAGTGTAGTTCCCAGGGACGAGCTTACTTAGTTTTAATATGGCCGTATCTTCAGAAATCTTCTCTTCTCTCAGAGGTCCCTTAAGTTCTTCCCAATGGTATTGGACGATTTTATCATCATCAGTGCTTTCTTGACCATAAAGAAACATCAGTTACAACATGAAAGCACTGGGTCTCAGCACTTATCCAGCTTACACAAACTAGGGCAACTACCCAGAGATGTGAGGCTAGGAAAGCTTCATGAAATTACAAACTCTCTCTCCAGAGTGTTTCTTCCCTAGGAGTATTGGGTCAGTCTGCCTCTCTATGACTATTCCACTGCGTAGTTATCCAAGGTCTCCAACACAGGCAATCTCTGGTTAAAATGCTACTGTATGAAAAAAGGAAAATCAAAAATTCTCAAACGTGTGAAAAGATACTCAGCCTCACTTAAAATAAGAGAAATGCACATTTAAATTACACTTCAAGTACTATATTTTTCACCTACCCGACTGGTAAAGACCAAAGTTTCATAACACATATTATGGGTAAAGGTGTGGGGCAAGGCCCTCTCGCAAGTCATGGTGGACTTATGAGATGCACCCTCTCCATAAAGAGTAATTTAGCACAATTTATCTTTGCCCTTGCAGTTCCTCTTTGAGGAATCTATCCTACAGGTATATTTGCACATGTGTTAAATGTCACGCTTACAAGACTATTTATGGCAACGTTCTTTGTAATAACAAAAGACCAAAAATAACCTAATGGTCATCAACAGAGATTGAATGAAAACAAGTATATAGCCATACGACGACATTATACAGCCATGTAATGGAAGGCTATGTAATCATTAAGAGAAAAAAAAAAATGAAACACTATTTCATGTACTGACTCAAAAAATTCTCCAACCTACAGAAACAAACACTGTACATAAAAGTGTGTATTATGTGCTATCGTAAAGACTGTATACGTATTTTCATACATATGCATAGAATGCCTCTAGAAAGACCATAAAATAATACCGTTGATAGTCTGGAGGAAAACTGGACAGTTGGGAGACAAGGATGGTAGTGACTCTTCTCTTTATGCTTTTACTTACAATTTAACACTGACCTATTAAAAAATATAAAGTAAAATGGTACTATGTGAACCCTCTGTACTTCTCTCATAAGTGCTGCTTCTTGTTCTCCCTTCTCTCTTTGCCTGCTATTCTTCTACCCTCCTCTTCTCGCCAGTAACATAATGAAATGTTTAACCTTGCTAGAGATTCTTCTGCTCGTGCTCTGACTGCATCCGCCAAAAGCCGCTATTGGTGCCAAGACAATCAGTGTAATGGGGCCTTAAGAGGTCTCTAAGGAAACCAAGCAAGCTCTGGTGAGATGACAGGCCTGAAACCTCTTTCACATGCAGCCAGGACGAGTGGCAGAGATCCCAGAGTCTTCTCATGTCATCCACCAGGGGACACTACTCTGAAGGGTACAATGTTAACGAGCCCGGCCGGGGCATGGAGCACATTCTGCGAGTCTCTCCAGGAGGAGGCTGACAAGAGCCTTGTTAGGCAGTGAGGGCTTGGGGAGAGCTCCTTAGTCAAGACCCTCAGTTACTTACCTTGCTATGAGAGGAGGGAGCTTTGTTTCCATAGCTAAAAATGGTGACTCTATCTAAGCAAATTTGAAAACCAGGAAGTTTCATACTAAAATAATGCTAAGTATATGCTTAATTCCACTTTCTTACCATCTCAACAGAGCAGAAGTATTACTTCAAACAAGCCACATGGGGATTTTAAATGGGGTCTGTCTTGTTTTTTACTTCCTAATCATTTGCTTGAGATGGGTAGTCCTCCCATAATATGGTCAAGAAGATGGGCCTATACAGAATGTGGACACAGTTGGCCCTGAATCTTCTACCAGACTTTTCTATCCATAGTTCATAGTGAATGCTCTTCTAAAACATCACATCTAGACAAATACTCACGGCTGCCATCAATGACTGTAGAAGTGGTTGGCAAAGAGATCTCCTGGAACTGTGGTGACACAATGGCAACGGGAGGCCGATTCTTACGAGGCTCTGCAGGAAAATGACCCAGAAGAAATTGGAAGAGGGGCTTTCTAAATTAGAGGAGGAGCAGGCCTATGTGAATGGATTATAAATCTGCTTCCATTACATAATTGATTTATTGGTTGCAGCATCACCAAATTAGAAAGTCATAAGACAGGCTGCCATTCTACCATAAGATACCTGGAAGTGTTAAACCCTCTTCCAGGCCTGAAGATAGGCTCTGGTGCTGTCTTGTTCATGAAAAGTACTACAGCAGCACAAGCTGAGTAGAGGTGGATAACAAACAAGCTTTGTGCAATAAAGGCCTTGGCAAGCAAACTATTCCTTGGCACGGACTGTGCTAAAAAGACAATGGGAGATTTCTCAACCATCCCTGAGCTGATCGTGTGTGAGGTGACTAGGCCTGAGTGATGGGAGGGTCACAAACCACACTGTCTACTCAAGTGACTGTGAGCTAAAAACCCAATGGCCTTTTGAGAAATAATCCAATGGTCTTGATGTTAAACACATTTTTAATAAAGTGAAAGGACTACCTTGGTTACAAAGTTCAAGGAACAAAGAGAAAATAAAATCTATTACCAACAAAGGCAGAAAATACCATTTTCCAACTTCCCCCAAATTTCCCTGAAAATGCAAAACAAGATACTTTGCTACTGCACTGTAATTTACCAATGGTGGATCAGTTAAAAAAGAATGATGGGATTTGGTTTCCAAAGTGAAAGAAGACTGGCAAGGTTTAAATGAGGAATTTTGTGTGCAAAACCCGTATCTGGAAAGAGATCAGAAAGAGCCAGCCATTTGGCTGATTCTCCTTCTACATACTTCTCCTAAGCTCCTGGCTTTCTTGTGTCTCTTAATCACAACACATGGTCCTCTCTCAGCATGACCTACTTGGAGAAGTAATTCTCAGACAGGCTATCGTTCAGGCCATACTGCACTGGGGGCCATGTGACTACTGTTTCTCCACCCAGCCAAATGTTCCAACTAGAACCAAAGTATATACTCTGCCACCTTAATCTTTTACTACATTGAACTAGGAATTGCCCAGTGAACATATTAAAAAAAAAAGAAAAAAAAAGAATGGGAAACAAAAACCCCTCAAGTCAAATCTCCCTCTCTTTGGGAATCCTGCAGAGGGAGCAATGGACACTCAGCCACAGCTTGGAAACACATACCTGGTTTTACTGTCACGTTCACATAGCCTTCCCCATGGGTATTTTGACCATCTACAATCACTCTGAATTCATACAGGCCTGGAGTAAGCTGCGGGAGTGAAAGAAGACAACCACAAAGAACAGCAATTCTATGTAAAATAACACATATATCTGAACTTGCCATGCTGATACTGAACTCTCCTTTTGCACTGTTTCCAAAATGGAGAAAGTAAACTAGCTAAGGAGATGAAACAATGAATTATAAACTAAAAAACCATAGCTTTTAATGTGAATCTTATTACCAGCTGACTCTAGAACAACAAAAGGGAATTCAATATCTCTATACTCCCATTTTCTTTTCAGAAGAACATTAAGGGCCCAACCATCCTATTTCACAGAGTTATGAAATTAAAATAATCATCTGTGCAAAGAAAACCATTTTGTAAAACTACCAAATAGCTCCCAAATATCTGAATATTTTTCCCTCCTGATTTCCACTAATGGTATAAACATAATATAAAGAAAATCACCCACAATCCCACTGTCTTAACACATCAGGTAACTGTATTTTTTCTCCTTCCAATCCTTGACCACATATAAAAAAATAGTTTTTAAGTAGTTCATTCATTCAGCAAACATTTACTGAGAACCAATCATGTACTGGACATTATCCTAGGCTTGGGGTTTAGAGATGAATAAGATAAGATTACTACCGTCAAGGAACTGGATTTTCAGGGTCCAGTTAAAATCAAGGTGTGCATCAAGCTTTTTTGTTGTTCTTGTTATTTCATGTCTTTTATTAACCCATATAGAATTCCTTGTCTTCCAGATTATTGAAGCAACAGGTCAGAAAACACTTACCAAAATAATGCCAAAGTGGCTAGTAATAAAAACTCCAGCACCACATTCATCTGAAAGGCACTCCAGATGAAGGTGATTGATTTGGCCATTCTCATCCACCTTATGGTATTTCAAGACAGACAGCTGAACCTTCTTTCTCTTATGGTTATTCTTCTTGGGAGTGGTGTAAGACTTCTTCCTTTCCTTCCTTCCTCTTTTTTTTTTTTTTTAAATGTTTACTTTTGAGAGAAAGAAAGAGAGAGAGAGCACGAGCAGGGGAAGGGCAGAGACAGAGAGGGAGACAGAAAATCCTAAGCAGGCTCTGCACTGTCAGCACAGAGCCTGATGCGGGGCTTGATCCCACAAACCGGAGATCATGACCTGAGCTGAAATCAAGAGTCAGATGCTTAACCAACTGAGTCACCCAGGCTTCTCTCTTCTTCCTTTTCTTAGCACCACCACAAAGTCGCAACAGAAGATGAAGAGTGGACTCCTTTTGAATGCTACAGTCAGATAAAGTATGTCCATCTTCCAGTTGCTTGCAAGAGAAGATCAGTCTGTGCTGATCAGGAGGAGTTCCTTTCTTATCCTGAATCTTGGCCTTTACATTTTCTATTGTATCCAAGGGTTCAACCTCGAGAGTGATGATCTTCCTCATATGGGTTTTCATGAAAATCTGCAACTTGGCGGTGGTTCCACTGCAGATGGTGGATCGGAAAGAGAAACCCGCATCAAGCTTTTTATTATTCTTTCTTCTGTTCATGTAACATGAACACTTTCCTCAGTATAACAGTCTTTTTAATGGTCATTTTAAAGCTACAGAATAGTACATGAGTGACTGTGTCATATCACATAGGCATTCCACATTGTTGAGTATTTGGGTTGTTTCCAGATCTTTATGCTGTGATGAACATCATTCAGACAAATGAGGTTTTTCCTTTCTTCTGAATTATGCTCTTTGAGAACATGCTAACTGACTAACATTTCTGATGTTTTTCTTCTTGTAACGCTTTTATTTCTTGGCTTTCACTTCTCTGTCCACTCCTCATTTCCTTCAGTTTCTTCTTCCTTCCACACCTTTAAGGACAACATTCCCCAGGATTCTAATTGCAACCTGTTTATTTCTTCACTGTACGCACTGTCTCTGGATGATCTCATCTATTACCATGGTGTCAGTGTCATTTCTTTGAGGTTGCTGTGAAGATTTATCTCTCTAGCCCAGATCTGTGTCCTGATCTCTAGTCCCTGATCCCAGCTACTTCCTGGACACCTCCACTCAAATGTTTCACAGGTACCTCAAAATCACTCTGTCCAAAAATGATTTAATCATCTGTAAACCTCACCCAAACTTGCTTCTCTTTCTGTGTTCCTCATTTCAGTGAATATCACCACCGTCGCACTGACATCTACCCAGGTGCCTAAGCCAAAAGGCTAGAATTATCCTAGACTTTTCTTCCTCAACACCACCACCCAATTAATTGATCACCAGGTCTAACTGAGTCGACCTCCATATAATATTTCTCACATCCACTCACTTCTCTCTGTTCACATTGCCATCACCTTAGATTTCAACGATCACAGCACAGCTGTTAAAAGCAAGAGCTTCAGGAATGGAAAGTTCCAGTTCAAATCTACCAATTAATAACAGCATGAACTTTGGCTAAATCACTTAATTTTTCTAATTTTTAGTTCTGTCATTTGTAAAACAGATATTAATACCTACATGTTGGGGTTGTTATGAAGATAAAATGAAATAAGTGCATAAAACAATTAGCACTATGTCTGGCACATGGTAGGAACTCAACAGGTGATCTTTAAGTTATTTATTTAGTTTTTTGAAGTGCCTGGGTGGCTCAGTTGGTTGAGCATCTGACTTTTGATTTTGAACTCAGGTCATGATCCCAGGGTCATGGGATCAAGCCCCACATCAGGCTCTGCACTGAGCGTGGAGCCTGCTTGGGATTCTCTTTCTTTCTGTCCCTCTATCCCTTTCCCCCACTTATGCTCACTCTTTCTCTCTCAAATGAAAACAATTTTAAAAATAAAACTTTATTTATTTAGTTTTTTTTTTTTTTTTACTCAGGCTATTACCATCTCACACCTACATTTTTCAACAGATTCTCCATTGGTTTCCCTGGTTTGAGTCTTACCTCCTCTAATCTGCAGGCGGGGTGATCTTTCTAAACTGAAAATCTAAATAAGTCTTTCTGCTGTTTAAAACCTTTCAAAAGCTCCCTAGTCCCTATGGATAAGCTTCTAAGTCCTCAGGTTGGTGTAAGACTCTGTGTGATCTGATCCCTGCATCTCTCTGACTTCTTTGTGCCACTGTTCTTCTCGTGCTAGAGGGTCCAGTCACACTGAACCACATGGAATTCCCTTTTTCCCACATTTTCCCTCTAATATTTGGCCCAATGGATATATTGCTTCTCCTGCATGGTTATCTGCACTCCATCCTTTACCCAGCACTCCATCATGACCAAGCCAGGCAAACTCTAAGAAATCAAACTCCCCGGGGCTTCAATACCCCCTGCACCAACCTAGTGCATCCCCTGTTATAACTGCCTGCTTCTGCTCAGTATCACCCATGAGACTCTATTGTCCTTGAATGTGAAGATTATGATCAATTCACTGGTAAATCTCCAATGCCTGACACATAACTAGTATACAATTAACAACGCAAAAAAGAGAAAGAAAGAAAGAAAGAAAGAAAGAATGAATGAATGAATGAGTATGCTCAGCCAAAGAATATGAACATTTTTATGGCTCTTAATAACTACACTGAATCTCAAAAAAGACTGAGCCAATTTACACAGTCTTGTGGCCGCAAAAAACTTAGCTTATCTCCCAAATTCTAAAATCCTTATGTTACCCTTAAAAGCTGTTTAGTGTATATTTTCAGCTATCACCACCATGCTTATACAGTCTTCTCACCATAAATGAACATTTGAGAGTCATACACTAACAAATACTGGATGTCAGCCAGACTTTTGGAGGATTCACTTCTGAAAGACTTCCTGATTTAAGTGTGAGCAGAAAATTTTACATTACACATTTTAGAAAATGGTCAGCACCTCTTCCCTGGCCCCACAAATGAGAGGAGGCAAATTCACCTTGGATAGTTTGAGGATCTGGGAATGTTTCCCTTCCATCTCGCCACTGTAGTCTTCGGGATGAGTAATCAGCTGCCAGTCGTAGGTGTAGGTTTCTCCTATAGAAGGGCAGTTACAAAAATCATGAAAACACACACCTACACACAAGGAGGGCAGCCACACATCCTGCCAATAACAAATCTCTTTTAAATCTTGACAAGGATTTAGTTTTTAAGATTCCACCCCAAAGCCTATAGGGAAAACCAAACGTTTTGTTGAAAAAAGAGATTCTGCTGACTCAGCTACAGTCAGGGCTTCTTCTACTTTCTCCCAGCAGTGCTCTTTCCTGCCCCATATCCACCTTCCCATTGAGAGAGGCCAATCCTCCCTCCAAATACTGGGTTGCTCATGGTGTGGTGTCACACTGAAAGTACATGCCCTACCAACCACTATAGATGAACTTACTGGGAACAAAGGCCATTTTCTTGCAAAACTTCTTTTGCAACAAAGAACAGCAATGACTTCTAAATAACATGGTTCAAAAATAGCTTTTTTACAGAGTGCTAACAATGCTTGTCTCACTGAGGTCATCACACCCTGGTGAGTTAAAAGAGCTACTTCATTCCTGCTGAGCTAAATAACACACTGCAGAAGATGGTAGGGGATGGCCCATTTAAAACAGGCCCCACTGAAATTAATTAAGATCAAATGAAGCATTAAATGGTCCTCATTTGTAGCTCAGACTATATGACTGAGTAGGCAAGGACAGAATCCTGTTATCTAAATGGAATCCCTCCTTCGTGAAAGTGGTCTTAAATTTGGGGGAGGGAGGAACTAAATTCATGTCTGGCTAGGGAACGAAGGCTTAGTTTACATTACTACTCAAAAGGAAAAAAGAAAAAAAAAAACCTCAAAAGCATAACAGAGAATGGCCAAACCTAATTCCAAGATAGCCTTCATCTGAAGACCAGATTTTATTTTATAAGCCTAAGATACGAGATCTATTACTCTTCCTTCCTCCCCAAAATACTAGTTTTGTGTTGGCCAGCCGTCAGCCCTGCGCAGCTCTCACAAATGTATTATGCAGAAGTCAGGTTAGGTGAGAAGCAGGAAAGCAACTGCAGCAGTGGGACTGGTGCTAAGAGATGACATTTCTTCCAACTGTAATTGGAAATTTTTTTCCACACAGAAAACAGACTCACACCAGTTTGGGAACTGACAATTTTATAGTATCTAAGGCTGGCAATGCAATTTCAAGAAAGGACAATATTCCTAGGACAGAAAAGCTTGGGGGATGCATTATGCCTACAGCCCAAAATTTGCCCAAGGGTAGGAACAACTGAGGATAGGTCTGCTAGACAGAATGCTGGTTTAAATGATTCAGGGCAATGGTTTTCAAACCATGCCTCCGAACCCCAGAGAGATCCTGAGAGGCGCTTCAGGGACTGCCACAGGAGATGAGGGGGAGGAAGAGTAGGCAGAGCTGGTCCTGTTCATCTGTCCTCAACCTTTGAAAATCTGAAACCATTCATCTCATGTATCTGATAAAGGCTGAGCAACTCATGGAGAGGAGAGTTGAAAAGAATCTGTTTCTCGGGGCGTCTGGGTGGCTCAGTCAGTTAAGCGTCCGACTTCAGCTCAGGTCATGATCTCACGGTTCGTGAGTTCGAGCCCCACATCGGGCTCTGTGCTGACAGCTCAGAGCCTGGAGCCTGTTTCAGATTCTGTGTCTCCCTCTCTCTCGGCTCCTCCTCCGCTCATGCTCTGTCTCTCTCTCTCTTTCAAAAATAAATAAAAACATTAAAAAAAAATTTTTTTTTAAAAGAAAAGAATCTGTTTCTCAACCTATGTGGTTTGGAATACTGATCTACAAGGTGACAGCACCACACAGACATGAACATGCAAACAGGGGTTAGACAAGAAGATAAGGCAGAACTCAGCTGCTTTTACAAAACAGTGGAGGCAACCACAGCTCAAGGCTGTTCTCTCCTCACCTCCATCTTCAAAGGCCACCCAATTCATTCACCTTAACTTACCACCAGAGCGGGGAAGGAAAAAGCTTCTCTGGAGGAAGTTGGAATGAACTGATAATTTGAGGGCAGACATATAGAACAGAGAGGGCATTTAGGTTCTGGAAAAGTACTTTTGCATAAATATGCTATTTGGTATTAGGCCTATTAGAAAGCAGGACTACTGTACAGGACAAGAGTACATGTACCTAAAATGGGAGGACTCCAACCTGAATCCTAGAGTAGGACATTCTTCTTGACTCACCTTTAATGAGGGGAACATAAACCCAATGCAACCATTTTCCATCAAAGTATGCTTCACTACTGTCAAAGGAAGTTTTAAGAAGCGCATATATGTTTCTAAGTCAAATTCTGGTCTATCAACATATACTTCAAAGGTGAAAGGGATACTCATAGTATAAAAGTTTTCTTAAATACTGAATGAATCGTTCCCTAATTTATATATTTTATAAATCTGAATTTTATGTATCACATTGGGCTTGTCTTTTTTTTAATGTCAAATCTATATTAGCAGTAGTCTTGAATAACTTTTCTACAACTGCTATATCTACTACTTACTAGTTGTTTGGACAAAATAAATAGGTTAACCTAGCCTAAGTTTCTTCCTCTTTCAGTGGGTACAACACAACCTCAGTTTAATGAGCATCAGCTATATGCTAGGCACAGACTGAAGCAAGTCCCTTGTATGCCATCTCATTTTGCCCTTAAAATAACCTCATAAAGTAGAAATTATCCTCATTTTACTAAGAAATAAATGGAAACTTAGAAATAATTTGCTTAAAACCACTCAGATAATGACTGGCTGAACTGGGATCTGAATCAGGCTTGACATCAAAGCCCATGATCTCAAACACTACATTACACTGCCTCTCGCATCAGATAAATATTTGTGCATGCGCACACTATATCCTGTTCTCACAGGTCTCTTGCAATGAGTAAATGAGTTAAGGTATGTGAATATCATTATAAATTAAAACATTATCCAAATGTAAGGGGATGTTTTACCTTCAAGTGGTTCTTGCAGAACAAATGCATTTAACTGAACTTCATTTTTAGGCAGGGTGATCTGGACACTCTTTCCAGCGGATACCACCAGCTCCTTTATAACTAGAAACAAAGAAAATATACAGGACATAAGAAATTAGATCCAGACTATCTCATTTCTCTCCCTCCTTTGGGGCCCAATTTGTTTTATAAATAATATTCTGCTATTTCCTTTATTTCCTCATTATTTATCTACTTTCTAATCCCCCTGAAATTTGATTCTGCCCCCACTTTCTCCTGACAAAGATCTTTTGAGGTCATCATCAAATTGATCCTTAGCAAATCCAATAGTTCTTTCTCAACTCACATACTTTACTTCTGTGGCATCTAATAATGCTGACTGCCTCGTTATTAAAACTCTCAGTTATCATGACACCATATTGTTCTACTTTTATTCCTTGTTCTCTGAGTTTTTCTTCACTGTATTTTAACTAGTCTGTCCCTAAGCCCTCTTTATATAGTACTTTCCATAGAGTTCAATAATTAAAGTTCTACAGTGTCTCAAGGATCATCTTTATGCTAATAAATAACCTTCTAATAAAATACATCTGTAACATTCCTGGAAGAAATGCCAAATATTGATCATGAAGCTAACCTTAATAATTTCTTTCTATTCCAATTGCTACAACCATAGACTTAGGTTATTCCAAGAATCTTAACTGGTCTTCCCTCTGCTAACACTCCCCACTGTAATCTATT